AGAAATATACTACATTTTCCTTTTTTGTGAATCCTCTTAAGTCCTGCTCATAGAAGTTTCTCATAAAAGATTTAATAGGCAGGAGCCGAGATATAGTTCTGTGGTATAGCATATGCTTAGTATGTATGAGGAACTGGGTTCAATCCAGCACTGGGGGAAAAAAAGATTTATTAGATGCATGGACAATAATGAAGTAGGTTCTAAAATTAGCATGTGAATAATCAAAACCATTGTTGAAAATTCCTGGAAATAATGACCCTGAGGTTATGGTTTAGATGTGAGGTGTCCTCCAAAAGCTCATGTGTGATACAATACAAGAGGGTTTAGGAGAAAAATAATTGCCTTATGAGAGCCTTTAACCTAATCAGTACATTAATCTGCTGGCAGGGATTAACTGGGTGGTAACTAATGGCAGGTAGGATGTGGAGGAAGTGGGTCACTATTGCTGTGCTTTGGGGTTTATACTGGATTCTTGTTGAAAGAAGAGTCTTTCTCTGCTTCCCAGTGCAATGCCCTAAACCTTCCCACCATGACATGCTGCTTCACCTACAGCTCTAAGTGATGGAATCAGCCATCTATGGACTGAGAACTCTGAAACCACAAGTCTCCAAATAAACTTTTCTTCCTCTAATTGTTCTTGTCAGGTCTTTTGGTCACAGTGGCCAAAAGAAAAAAAAAAAAAGAGTGACTAAAACACCTGAAGACCAACATCTATTATCTTTCAATATAATTAAGCCCAGAAATTTTCTATTATTGGAACATGAATATAGTTTCTTTAAATCAATACCTGTGGTTACAAATGTCCCTAATGACAATGTTTTACAAAACTATATAATTTTAAGCACCAAAATTTATATCTCATGAAAATCTTCAGAATGCTAAGTAGGAACTCACATGCAATAAAAGAAAAGCAAATTTGTATCTTGCAACTTAAGGTCACTCTGAAAATATACTTATCAAGGGGAATGACAATTACCACATTATTCAAATATGCCCACCTATCCAACCTATCTCATTGAGTGGATTTCTTTGAATATAAAATATATGATATTATGATGTATTTCTTTTGTACTGATATGCCTATAAAAGCCAGGGTTGATTTTTCATAGCCATAATTTCTCTCATAATCTACATGACCAAGTCTTTTTAGAGGATGAAATAAAATTTGCCAACATTATACCAATGTTCATCATGGCCATGAACATGCTAATCTCCTATGCAGTCTATTTGGCTGAAGGAACTGCAGATACTCACAAACTTGGAAAGATCATAGAAAGCAAAGGAATGTTTCAATGGTTCTATTTATAATTCAAGATAAAAATTCTAGAACATGGCTAAAAGAATGCTATTGCTAAATAAAAATTTGCAGACAGTATAAATTAAGATTAGTTACTTTAATGAACATATTAAAGAAGCTTATTGTAGGACAAAAATTGGATATAAAGGGAGGTGAGGATGCTGCCATTTCCACAAGTACCATTAATTAGTCAGACCTTACTTTTCAATAGACCAATATTCTCCAGATCATGTCTCCTAGATAATACCCATATAATCCTCATTGGGTTAGTCATGGTGTATTCTCAACTGCTGGTGTAGATGTTTATAGTTTCCATTACTTTAATCATATTTCAGAAATGTAATGATAATAATGACATAATTATTACCTGCATATATTTAAAATTTTTGGTCATGTATAAAATCACCTCCTTCAAATACTAAATAATTTAGTCATTATCTATAGTCTAAAACCCAAACAGGCTAAGGCAGAGGCATAGTAAGTTCAAGGTCAAGCCCGTGTGTCTGTAACCCTGTCTCAAAATGTTAAATAAAAGTCCTGAGGATGTAGCTCAGTGGTAGACCACAACTGGGTTTAATACCTAGCAATGAGAAGGAAAAAAAGAAGAAGAAAAGACATACCAAACAAGAAAAATAAGATATAAATGGCTAGTCTGAAAAATCTGCTTTTGTGTGTAAATTTTTTTCAACAATCATTAGTTCATCTCATAAGTACTCTAGGTTTAGAATAAAAATATAAGTATGGGTTGGGGTTGTGGCTCATGGTAGAACACTTGCTTTACATAAGTGGGGCAATGGGTTCGATCCTCGGCACCACATAAATAAATAAAATAAAGGTATTGTGTCCATCTACGACTAAACATTTTTTTTTAAAAAAAGTATAAGTACAATGTAGCTCCCTCTAGGAAGCTTTTTTTCCACTACACAGAATTCTCCACTTACTGGGAAGTTCCACAACCCTTTAATTGTGTTCTGACACAGTGGCACATTCTACACTTAGTTAATTTTTGTACCATACCTTTGCCACTAGACTATAAACCCTTTCAGTTTTTATGCCCACAATACCTACTAGAGTGTGTCTTGCACAACAATTCAATAAATATGGACTTTACATACCCAGATATTTTTTACCTGCATTTATACTTTTCATTTTTCCAAAATAAATTATATAATACAATCCTTTCTATTTTCTTCCTAGTTCTTAGCAAGTCTTATTTCTCTCTCTCTCTCTCTCTCTCTCTCTCTCTCTCTCTCTCTCTCCTCTCTCTCTCTCTCTCTCTCTCTTTTTGGGGGGGGGCAGCTCAGAGGAGCATTCTAACTCTGAGTAACATCTCCTTTTTATTTTGAGATAGGATCTCCCTAAATTGTCCATGCCAGCCTTCAACCTGTGATTCTCCTGCCTTAGTCTCCTGAGCTGCTGGGATTATAGGCATATGCCATAGCACTAATTTGCTAACTTCTTTTCTCCCTATTCCCTAAGGTAATCTGCTCATCTATTATTTCACTCAAATAATCCAGTAAATATTTTTCAAGTACATATTATGTGCTAGGTAGTATGTAAGGTGCTGAGAGCATATCAGCAAACAAACCCCTTAAGAACCCAAAGGAACAGTGGGAATAGATAAGTAAATAGGTACTTACAAAACAATGTGGTAAGTATTACAGAAGATGTGAATAGAGACTATATAAAAAAGTAAGAGAAACATTTAAGAGTACTTTTCTCCAAGTTTTTGTCTGTGGTTTATCATTTTCTCTATATTTCTGCCTTGGTCATCCATTCATCCATCCATTTTCTCATTATTAACATATGTATGTGATACAAAATACAAAAACTGCAGAAGAATACATAATTGAAATATATCTTCCTTCTACACTGTCCCAGATGGAAGTTTATCTCCCAAAGGCAAGCTCTAATATCCAATGCATAATTACAAGATATTTAAAGTATACACAAACATATGTACCATGTGTATAGTCTTATTTTCCTTTAGTACAATAGTAGCATGCTTTATAGTCTGTATTTTGCTTTTTCACTTCTGTATCAGTCTAGATTAAGCTGCTTCATTCTTTTTAGTGGTACAGCAATTCCACTATATAACATGGATGCAACACTATATATTTAAGCAGTCTTCATACTGAACACTCATTTAAGATACTGCAATGCTCCAACGAATATATTTATTAATATATCATTCTATGGTATATATGTATCTATGTCTGTAGAATAAATTCCTGGAAGTGAAACTGCTGAGTCCAAGAAAATGTACATTTTAAATTCTGACAAATACTGATATGAGGTTTCTCTAATTTCACTTCCACCTCTAAAAGTTAAATTATAACCTTTATAATTTAACTTTTAGAGGTGGTTCCCAAAATCTATACCCATAGTTCTGAACCCTTACTCTTTATGACATTTCCATATGCATTTTTCTTCAGAACCTTAGGAAAAACCTTTTCAAAATCGCATTTATAATTTTAGCCTCAAAATGTTATTTATAAAATCACTTTGATTCTTCCTTCTTTGTTTCCACCCACATTCAACAAATTGGTTAAGATGGGCCAATCCTACAATTCCATAACATTATCTTATTTTCTCAGATGTCTAATTGCAAACACTCAGTTCTGCATGCCTCTATTACCCAAATACCCAAGTTCTTGCCCTATGCTCACCCACCCCCACCAGTAACTCTGCTCACACCATCTTCTCTGCCTGAAATACTTTCTTAAATCAGTTCCTATGTTGAAATCTCATTAAGTCTACTAAATGGCAAATCATCTATAATGCATTTTCTTTTATGAGCTTATTGACACTAGGTCTTAGCTTGATTTATAATGTACTTATAAAAGAAATTATGAACTCCATCATAGCAAGGATAATGTCTCAACACATTTAGATAAACCCACATTGCCTTACGTACTAAAAATGTGTTCACCAAATGAATGAATGAAGTTTTATAATAAACTAATTCCTACATATAAAATAATTCTATAGGAAATAATTCTATTTATTTATTTAGGAAATAGGGATCTTTTAAAGTCTGTGACAAATAAACTCCTATTTAATAATTGAATCTATTTCAGAAAGCCCACAATGTAAATACTTCCAGTTAATTATTCCTGGAAATTACATTTTTCCTCACATTGATTTTGTTCAAAAATAGGAAGGAGAAAAAATAAGGAATAAAATAATAGGTGAAATATACTACTTAAAGTGACTGTATTTCTCTTCGAAACTGTATAAGATCTCTTAACTCTATTAAATATCAACATGGTTACTCTAGTATACAGGAGAAGAAAAAGCTAAGCCACAGTACCTATAGATTATTGTTCTATTTAGTTCAAAATAATAACATTTTAAACATGTTTCATACAAAGATTAGTTGAGGAAAAACTCTGTATAACATAATAAATCCAGCATTTCTGGTTTTCAAAATTTAATAACATGGTTTCAAAAATCATACTGTTAAAACTTTCCACTTTAAAAAAAAAGGAAAAAAGAATATGCTTTCCGGTATATAAACATAGTTATATAAAAACAAACACTCATTAATATTTCATTAGAAATTATTCAGCTCTCCACTTGATTTTAGAAAGAGCTATACAATCTTCACCAGGTAGAGAACTACATAACTTGTATTTCAAGTAATGTTTCTAAAATCATGAAAATACTACCATACAAATGCTAGATTAACTTCTTGACTCACCTCTCCCCCATTAACATATTCCATCACAAAACACAAACGGTCTTTTGTCTGGAAGGAATATTTCAAGGACTTGAAATAAAAAAGAAAAAATGGTATATTATAATCCTATATTCTTATTATAATGGTACCCAAAATAGAACACTTAAAATTAGTAAGCATGATTAATAAAATGAACTGTTACTGTTCCTAAAAATTCTATTTCTTAAGAGTGCTCAAGTAAGAGTCTATAAGAAACATCAAACAAATTTTATTCAGCTTAGCAATAGGTATTGTTATGGGGAAAATAAAAAATATCAGTAAAATTAAACATTGTGATAAGTATTTATCACTCTATCATGTCATCTATTTAAAATTATGTTTGGTATGGTCTACAACTTACTCTAGTGGATGTTCCTCAAGAATTACAGTTACAGTTGTTATATTCAAGTAAGTCACGCATACTGCAAGTTATAATGACCAATCCCAACAAAGTTGGTTCATGCAACTTTACATGTTATAAAAAGATATTAAAGCTCTGTTTTGTTATACTTGACAATAAAACGCACAAACATTTAACAAATTAAATTTGGCTATCTAATGATATCCTTGAAAATACTTGTTTTAGCTAAACCTAAAATTTTAATAAAAGGTTTTGAAAATCTAGCTGTTACTTTTAATCTTAATATATCAGAACTGAATATATAAGAACTGAATATATCAGAACTTATCCTAGGTTTATTGCAGTCAGTATTCCTGTATTTCTTAAAAACACTCTCTCCCTAAAACAAGTCTCATTTCTAAGAAATATATTAAGATTTCTGCCTTTTATATTTGAAAAACATGCTGATTATTTAAATATTTATCTGAAGCCATAAGCAAAAAAACCATAAATTCTACATTTAATATTAAAAAACATTTTAAAAGTCTGTTATTCTCTCAGTTAACTCCTTAAAATGCCATAGGTGATCTATAGGTTCTGTGGTTCAAGTTTTTTAATGATAAGGAGATTCTTGGGATAAAAAAGAGGTTTTAGAAAATAATAAGTAGATAATGGGAAGGATCATGAATGCATACAAACTATATACTTAACTATGAATTCCAACAATTTTGAAAAAATGTGATTTATAAACTTTCAACAAAGAAAATGCCACACTTAGGTTATTGTTATTTAAAATGCTATTTTTCATAGTTTGGTTTCTATAACAAAATTCCCTTAAATTTAAAATGTTATAACATCCATCTTCTAGTTACTTACTGTTAAAAATGGATGTCTAGTGTTCTTTAATACTCTGCTTTCAGTAAGAGTGTGTGCTACTTCATCCTACAAAAGGAAAAACAAAAGCAAACTGTGAATATATATTCTAGGAACCGATTATATAAATTTTAATTATTTATTTAAAATCCATAGAGTTAGAAAAGGATTTAAAAACATGTTACCATGCTTCCTTTATTGCTCAGCTTCCCCTCCACTCAAAGAAAAAAAATTAATGATTTATTTCAGATGGCCGGAAGGTATAAAGTCATTCATACTTGAGCAAAATAATCAATAATGATATAAAAATCAACAAAAAATTATCAGAGACAGAAAAAAACATTATATTCTTCTCTCAAAGAATGTCTTATCAGCTAATATTTTAGCATGGGTTAATATTTCTATTTGGGGAGACATAAAAGTTACATTTTAGTAGGATCATGAAATCTTCAAGTCTCCTAGTTTTAATTTTTTAAAATTTTTTTGGTTCTGGATTGAACTCAAAGATGCTTTCCCACTGAGCCATATTTCCTTCCATTCTCATAATCTCACTAAATTGCTGAGGCTGGCTTTGAACTTGCAATCCTCCTGCCTCAGCTTCCCAAGCCAGTAGGATTACAGGCATATGCCACTGCATCTGGCTCAAGTCTTCTATTCAAAAGAAAAATTAATCATTGAAAAAGGGAACATATAATAATATAAACTTTAATTCTAAATTATACAATTTAGAAATATAAAGAAATAGCAAAAAAGTATATCTTTTTGTCTGTAATTTTTAAATGTGCTTCTTTTAAAAATAGGTCATAACCCTTGTACTGTAGGTGACAAGTTCAAAATGAGAGTATATTTAAGACCAAAAATATGGAAAAATATATTGCCCCTATTTTGTTCATAAATCTCATCTTGACATCAAAAGTGAAACTGGATTTTCTTCAACATATGGAGAACTGGAAAAATGTTTCATGTTTCAAAAATAACAATATATTAAAGAAGAAAGAACGAACTAATGGAGTATCTCTGTTTTTTTGCTTCTGGCAAGATCTTAAGTCCTTGCTAGATCAATATAACACCGTCAGTAAATCAAAATTAGATTATGAGGAAAACCGTGGAGAGAACAATATCAGGACACTGAATTACATTTATTATCTTTACAAAAGCATTTGACCTTAGTTTGACTTAGAAGATAAATGAGAAATAGATTGATCAAAGAAGGTAAGATTCTAAAGCCATTCCAAGAAGGTGAGATCAATTAAGTCTGAACAGAAAGTATAATTAACAATAAAGTATTTAAAAACCAGTGAAGCCACATATAAGCATGAAACCATTTCAGTCTCATTTATTTTATAGGAGCCAGGCTTAAGTGCTCAATTTGAAAGTCACTGTCATGTCATACTATAATTCCTAAATTAATTATACTATTTTAATAGAAACAGAAATGACACCAGAACTTATATTTTTTTAAGCCATAGTACTAGTATAATGATTAACATAGCATATACTTAATGTTTGTTGAACTAAACTGCTTACCAAAGGAATAAATTAAAAAATGTCATATATATGAAGCTTGTTCAGTCATTCATTCTTCCACTTATTACTTCACAAATGTGCAAAACTATGTTCTAAGTACTGTTAAAGAGGGAGAATTAAACAAGAGACAAAGTCCCTACTTTTATGAAGCTTTCAATCAAGTTAGTCAGATGGTAATCAGGAATCAAAAAACACATACACATAATACACACACACAAAGCAGAAGAAGGGACACTACAGCTAATGAGCATCATATACTGTCTATGAAATATATAATGCAAGTGGCTATTTTGGGATATTCAGAAGCAATCCTTCATTAAAAACAAAAACAAAATCCTGCTGGGCACAGTGATATAATCCTGTAATCCCAGAAATTCAGGAGGCTGAGGAGGACTGCCAAGTTCCAGGTCAGTCTGAGTAACTTGGCAAAAGCCTGTCTCAAAGAAGGGAAAAAAAAAAAGGGTTAGGGACGTAAAGTACTTCTGGGTTCAATCTTCAGTATACCACCCCACCAAAATCCTCGAGTTGTCCTTATTAAGTGCTAACAAGGACTGTGCAGGTATAAAGCGATTAAATAAAAAAGATAAAATAAGGGCTGGGGTTATAGCTCAATGGTAGAGCACTTGACTAGCATGTGTGAGGCACTGGGTTTGATCCTCAGAACCACACAAAAATAAATAAATAAAGGTATTATGTCCATCTACAACTAAAAAATTTTTTTAAAAAAGATAAGATCCTAGAAGAGATGTAAGTAACCAATTTAATAAATAGTAAACTGATTCTGACAAATGGTATTAAGAAAAAATTAGGATTATATACTATTGTAAATGGGGTAGAGAAGGGAAACCAACACCATTGGAAGAGTGGAAGGAAGCTAGGTAAGATGATGGAGTGGGATGGATAATGGCAAAATTTATGTCTGACAATATTTACTAATGCTTCTTTGATAAAGACAGCAAAAACAGGAGGGATCAATTAAGAAATTATTATAGTACTTCAAGAGGGAAACAAGATGCCTTGAACTACTATAGTGGAAACAGGAACAGGAAAAATGGGGATTATAAGATATCTGCCATTAACATGAGGGTGAACCAAAAGAAATATGTCTTTATAAGTAATGAGAAACAGATTTACAGGAGAGAGAAAATTTACCTATTATGGTTTAGGATGTTAAGTAGTTTTAATCATTGATTTGGGGAAAAACTGAAAATTAGTGAGTATGAAGCCCATTTGAAACCAATAAAGACATAGTAGTGCTTTAGAAAATATTTCTAATATTTCATTTTACTTTGGGAAAACATAAGAGTTAATTTTCTATGTCACTTGGTTTCATGGACAAAAATATTTTTTTTCCTGAATTCTGAATCTCTCTAAATTACATGAAAGGAATCAAGTAAAGATGCATGGAGGAAAAAAACTAAAACAATATTTGTTATTATACAAATGAAATTGGAACTAATAAAACATACATATATTTCATAAAGTAAAATGCATTTTCTATCACATTTTACATCTGATTAGTTTAGAATTTTCCCCATTAATGCAAATTTAATGGTACTGTATTTCACATACTAATTAGTTTTTGCTATGAAGGTATGTACAAGCTAAAAAGTAAACACAGATGCCAATAATTTTTAATTACAGCTAAAAGCAACATGTCAAAACAAGACGTTAAAAATAACAGAGATAAAAAATTAGTGGCTAAAACAATGTGAGGCTCTTCAAAAAATCAATTCATTGATCATAATTATAAATGAAGAGTTCTAGAAATGCTTGGATATACAATATAAGAATAATAATGCTTTCATGAAAAGATTCCTGAAATACAGATTTCTACATATTCAACCATGGTAAAAGACTAATAACTTTTAAACCTAATTTCTTTCACAGAAAGGTTTATTTAGGGGAATAGAATTTTATTTATTGAGAATATAAACAGAACAGTCCACTCTCTCCTATTTATTTTCCCAAATCCTTTCCAGTTTATCACTCACCTTCTACTGGACCTGGTCTAACTCACCCTTCACTTGCCCCACTCACTGTTTTACAACAAGTTTTTTTTGAAGGAGTCCAGGAATAGGAGATGACAAAGAGGAGGAGAAAGAACAACTTCTTTATATTATCAGGGATACCAATAATGTATCTTGCCTTTGTATCAAGTTATGTTTTATTATTCTCATTTGTATAAGTAAATTGAGGTCCACAGCAGTTAAATAGCTCAAGCTGCAGGTGAAAAAGTCAATATTAATCTTGTATCTTAGTTGAAATTGAAGGGTCATTTCTATTTCACAACTGCTTTCAAACAGCTTACTCAGTATCAAATTAACTAGAATCTTTTACACTGTTCATATTATCTTCTCCATCTTGAACACGAGTCTGTAATGAATAGCTGTCAGAAGATGACTGAAATCAGGATATATTACATCTAAAGCATTTATTTCCTTCATCCTTCCAAAGCAATAAATGAGATCTAGAGGAGATGTCAAGCAGGTTGGGGAGACAGAAGAGGGTAGAGAAACATTACCATGGAACACTTATTTCTAAATTAAACTACAATGACTGCCAGTGATCATTATTCACTTGTTCACTGTCTTCATAAGCCGCATGTTACTTTTTAAGAGGAGAAATGTCACACTTACCAAGCTCTAAATTTCGGGTTCTTATTCTCCTCTATTGAAAACATGAGCACTGGCCCAACTGTGCTAAGACATCTCCCACTCTCCAATTCTCAGAATTTATTTTCACCATTAACAAATTTATATTCTAAAATTTTTTTACCTCTAAAGAAAATGTAAGTGCAATCATCTTGTTATCTATAAATACAAATATATGTATGTATTATAAATTATTTTATATTATATATTATATATATAATATTCTATTTGATAAATTGTTCTTGATGGTCCTGTTCCAAACATTACTTGGATAGAGGGTAACATACTTGCTTTAACTTTGATCCTGATACAATCACTTAGACCTGAGTCTTTCTTTAACTGGAGTGTGTGTCTGTTCTGCTCTTTCCTTCTGCCCCTTCAATTCTCAGTATTGACACAGGTAAATCTCTATCTTCTCACCTCTTTATCTGAAAACAAAACCTCACATAAACATAAAACTAGCACCATAGAGCCCCCCTCCAATTTCAGCTGAAGTCTTCTGAGATTTCTTTCATCACCATTAATTAGGCCACTATTCCATTTCTCAAATGGTTGTTTTGAATATTTCCTAGGTTTTCTTCCATAGCTGGTATGTATGCTGAAATATATACACTAATCTTGCCAAGCAAGTTACCTTATCTAGTTAAGCTATCGAGCTGAAATTGGAACCCCATTTGATCTGGCCTTTCAAGTCTAGAATGCTTTCATTAAGTTGTTTCTCATTATCTCAACCTCACTCCCTGACATTTTCAAAAATGTGATCTTAATTCCTACTCTGAAGAAAAGCCATGAGAAACTAACATTTAACACATTTGATCACTCCCTCTTCCTGAAAACATGTTCTTTTTGTTTCCAGGATATCATGACCTCTCAATTTTCCTCTGTTTT